ACTGGTACCAAAACAGGCGGGTGGACCAATGGTACAGAATAGAGGACACAGAAACCAATCCACAAAACTACAACTACCTTATATTTGATAAAGGGGCTAAAAGCATGCAATGGAGGAAGGATAGCATCTTCAACAAATGGTGCTGGGAAAACTGGAAATCCATATGCAACAAAATGAAACTGAATCCCTTTCTCTCGCCATGCACAAAAGTTAATTCAAAATGGATCAAGGAGCTTGATATCAAATCAGAGACACGCCGTCTGATAGAAGAAAAAGTTGGCTACGATCTACATACTGTGGGGTCGGGCTCCAAATTCCTCAATAGGACACCCATAGCACAAAAGTTAATAACTAGAATCAACAAATGGGACTTACTCAAACTAAAAAGTTTTTTCTCAGCAAAAGAAACAATAAGAGAGGTAAATAGGGAGCCTACATCCTGGGAACAAATCTTTACTCCTCACACTTCAGATAGAGCCCTAATATCCAGAGTATACAAAGAACTCAAAAAATTAGACAATAAGATAACAAACAACCCAATCAACAAATGGGCCAAGGACCTGAACAGACACTTCTCAGAGGAGGACATACAATCAATCAACAAGTACATGAAAAAATGCTCACCATCTCTAGCAGTCAGAGAAATGCAAATCAAAACCACCCTAAGATACCATCACACTCCAGTAAGATTGGCAGCCATTATGAAGTCAAACAGCAACAAGTGCTGGCGAGGATGTGGGGAAAAGGTACACTTGTACATTGCTGGTGGGACTGCAAATTGGTGCAGCCAATTTGGAAAGCAGTATGGAGATTTCTTGGAAAGCTGGGAATGGAGCCACCATTTGACCCAGCTATTCCCCTTCTCGGTCTATTCCCTAAAGACCTAAAAAGAGCATGCTACAGGGACACTGCTACATCGATGTTCATAGCAGCTCAATTCACAATAGCAAGACTGTGGAACCAACCTAGATGCCCTTCAATAGACGAATGGATAAAAAAAAAGTGATAAAAAAAATGTGGCATTTATACACAATGGAGTATTACTCTGCATTAAAAAATGACAAAACCATAGAATTTGCAGAGAAATGGATGGCATTAGAGTAGATTATGCTAAGTTAAGCTAGCCAATCCCTAAAAAACAAATGCTAAATGTCTTCTTTGATATAAGGAGAGTAACTAAGAACAGAGTAGGGACGAAGAGCAGGAGAAGAAGATTAACATTAAACAGGGATGAGAGGTGTGAGGGAAAGGGAGAGAGAAGGGAAATTGCATGGAAATGGAAGGAGACCCTCAGGGTTATACAAAAGTACATACAAGAGGAAGTGAGGGGAAAGGGAAAAATAATACAAGGGGGACAAATGAATGACAGTAGAGGGGGTAGAGAGAGAAGAGGGGAGGGGAGGGGAGGGGAGGGGGGATAGTAGAGGATAGGAAAGGCATCAGAACACAACAGACACTAGTATGGCAATACGTAAATCAATGGATGTGTAACTGATGTGATTCTGCAATCTGTATATGGGGTAAAAATGGGAGTTCATAACCCACTTAAATCAAAGTGTGATATATGATATGTCAAGAACTATGTAATGTTTTGAACAACCAACAATAAAAAATTAAAAAAAAAATAAATAAAATAAAAATAAATAAATAAAAGCAGACAGTCTTAAAAAAAAAAAGATCCTGTGATTAGTAAGCTCTTGAACCCTCTTACAGGTTTTCATCATCAAAGATGACAAACAAAATGAAAGCTAGGTTAGCAGTTTATTTTCTTACTGATTGATGCAGAGAAACTCTTTGGAAAGGAAGTTGGTAAATGAACAAGTGAAATGTATATATTAATAATTTCTTGTGCCATTTTATCTATGATAAATTAGATGATTTTCATTATCTCAATTGAATTAGTGTTTTTTGAAGACCAATATTTGCACATAACAAGATGGGTGGTTAGGAGGACTGAATCTCATGCCACATGCCTGTTTGTATAGTGTAAAGTGAAACCAACTGGCCCTATCTGCCCAAGAATTTATGTGTGTGGTAATCAAAGGAAACCACACTGTGTAACAAAAGGATGTCAGAAGGGTTTAGAAAGCAAAATTAATTTACAGCTATGCTAGCTCTATGTTTTTGTTAAAATACTACTACCTAGCACTATCATAATACACATTTTTAATATTTTAATGCTTTAATAAGGCAGTAACACTTAATGACCAGTTTAATCATGTAGAGAACAAATTTTCCGTTTTTCCTCTACATTTTCTTCTGGAATGATCTTTTCCACACTCATTGCTTATTTTGTAATACTCCAAGACCTATACCCTCAATCTACCTCCTTATCGTTGCAAAGACATCCTACTTTTTTCCTATATCTAACGCGTCACCCAGGCCTGTCAATTCTATCACCTAACTGTCTCAAAACTTTCCACTTCTTTCTGATCTCAGTATGAATTTCAGTAATAGTTCAGGGCCTCCTCAAATTTCTCTTGGATCACTGTAGTAGTTTTCTAAATTCTGAAATAGTATTTGTGTGCTACTTTTAAAGAATTCTGTACAATAAGGTAGCTACTATTTTGCTATATAATTGTACCTGAAGGAAACTGTACCGTATGCCTTGCTTTTAAATGTAGAATTGATACTGGTCTTTAGCTGTGAATCATTAATTCAGGCATTAAAAAAATACATCCTTTTTTTAAATTGATTTTTTAAAGTACATTATAGCAGAATGCATTACAATTCTTATTACACATATAGAGCATAATTTTTCATATCTTTATATATAAAGTATGTTCACACCAATTCATGTCTTTATATATGTACTTTGTTTTTTGGGTTTTTTTGGCATTACAATTCTTCTTATACATATATAATACAATTTTTCATATCTCTGTTTGAATATAAAGAAAAAAAATACAGCCTTGCATATGACTGAACCTCTATATGTATAATGTATACACATTGCCCATCAGCTATTTCATATCCGAACTGAGAAGCAAGCATATTGAATTTCCCTAAATAGGCTCTTTGAGAGCTTTGGTTTTAATTCAAACTCTAATTCAATATTAGACTGCTGTGATAGCTGGGAATCATTTTAGTTTGTGAAAGGGATGCCAGTTCAAGAGATGATACCCATTGTGTGTGTGTGTGTGTGCGCGCATGTGTATATGTGTATGTGTTTTAAGAAATACTGTGTTTTCTAAGTAAAGGGTCAAATAATTTCCAAGGTCTAATGATTTCTTATTAGAGCAGCTAGATAACAGCACTACAAATATTTAAAGCATAAAATCTGTATCCCCATATAAGAAAATACCACTTTTGTAAATGTCATTGTTACTTTTCTATATTGAAAAAGAAAAAAAAATATGTTTAGTACCATGTACCTGTATTTCAAATAGCATAACCAGCACTGAAATACAAATGTGATGTTGGGTTCCTTCTATACTAAACTGCTTATCTGGATTCTCAATTTGTCTCATTTGAGTTAATATATTTTTATTTAGTATATAATATGTGATAAATACCCTGGGGAGATATAATGATAAAACAGATGTGTCTTCTAGTCTAGAGGAAACTAAACTGAAAATTGATCAAAAGAAAGAATAAGATAGCAGCAGTGTTCGCCTCTGTTGCATAGAAAAGATATCAGATACTTGGGTTGATGGATTTTATTCATCACTAAAGGATGAATATAGTTCTTTAGTACTTCACTTCTATGAGTCTTACCATAAGCCAATAAAAGGGCTATTGTTTTTGAAGCATCTGACATATAGACAAAACTTGGTTAAGTCTAGCCAACCAACCTTTGATAAAATCAATGACTAAAAAATGAATAATCACTTCAAACAGTTGGTATGGCTTTAATAAAACAGTCATTTATTTCATATTTCGTTTGTTCAATTGGTCTTAGATTATGATTATATATTTTTCTTTTTCTAGTCATAGTCTGGTTTCAAATATATACTAAACTAACACAAGTAGCAAAATATGCCATGATGCTTTAAATGTAGGTAGTCACCTGTCCACTGGGAGGTCCCTCAGCAGAAACATGAGTTCATTTGCAGAGGAGAAAAACCATGACAGCTTGCCAGCTCTTAGGTACTTCTAATTGCAAACAGGGATGAAAACTTTTGAAGTTTACATGCACAAGACATAATGACAGTTCTAATTTGAATTATGATAGTCCTTCTGTCTTATATTTCACAAAAAAATTATTCTGTTACAATATTTTTCTGAAGAAAATATACCTTGTCACTAAAAACAAAAAATTTTGAAGACAAAAATATAATTATTCTAAGCTGAGACCACATCATGATTTTGTTTATACAATAGACTATTTAGATCAATAGCCACTGCTACTTTGCACAGATGCTCTCTAAAAGAAGATATTTTTTATTACTTGAAGATAGTGTAATATAGATAATGAGTTGATAAGTTAGCTATAACCTTAATTACTTAACTATAGGATAAGGATGTTACAGGTATTAAAAAAAAGACACATTGTCTCACACTGTCTTCATACATGTAATAGAGAGTAAGCAAATTTACATATCTATCTCTTTTTATATAATGTGTATATTCCATATAAAGGTAATACATATATGTCTGTGTTCTCTTCATACACACACACACACACACACACACACACACACACACATATATATATATATATATATATATATATAGAGAGAGAGAGAGAGAGAGAGAGAGAGAGAGAGAGAGAGAGAAAGTGAAAGAGAGAGGAAAATCTCTCCAAATTTTGAAATTTGTAATACTTATAGTAGAACCCTGTACCTTAGCATGTTAAATAAGATAGATAATGATGTGTATCATATATATGATTTAGACATTTATATATATTTATCAATGTATTTAATATATGTATGTAAATATATAAATGTATTTACTATATACATGTTTATAAATATATTTATTTAACTGTATTATTTATGTTATATTTATTTACTTGATACTTTTATTAACATAAGGAATGTAGTATTTTAATTTAAACAAAAACTGGTTCTGTTCATTGCCTAGATGATTAAGATTTTGGCATGAACACAAGATGATTTTTTCGGATGCCTTATTGCTACTTTTGGGGAGGTGTACTCTTTTTATTTAATTTATTTTTTTTATTCACTGTTTTTATTTATTTTATTTTATTTATTTTGATTTACTCTATGAAATTGCCTCCTGCAACTAGGAAGTATTCCAAGTACTTCACAAAAAATATCCATTCAGACCACCATCTCAACAAGTCTCTTTGATAAGAACCAGTGTGATGCCCAACTTGCACAGAGAGTAAGTTCAAGCAGTTCACCCAAGATAATACAGCTAAGGGGCAGAATCAGGATTCAAAATGACTGCAGACTTCACACGCCAGTTTGGGAAGGATCTCAGTGAGTACATAGCATACGATAAATACCTTGGGGAAATAGAAAGAAGAATCAGACATGGCTCCCACTCATAGAAAAACAAACTAAAAATTGACTAAAAGTAAGATATTAGCTACATATGGCAGGATTTCTTTATTGATTAATTAGAAGTCAAGGGCACAAAAGAATCAGCCAATCCTTGCTCCAGTCAGGGTGCCCAGGGCCTGGAGTCTCAACTTCCCTGTGTCACTGTGTGTTCTCTCAGAGTCCTGTCTCACTTGCCTTCCTCCTGAGGCCACGTCTGCAGAGCATCAGATGGCAGTGCAGGGAATGTCAGCCCCAAACGACACTCCATCTCTATGTGGCATAGAAATGACCCTTTTGTTATTTTTGACTGATTCCACAGCTGCTTAGTATTAGGTCAGCCATGGTTGCTCACCGGTTTCTGTGGTGTGAGTTTTATAATTCTTCGAAACCTCTTCTAGAGCTCTCTAGTAGCTCCATGAACCAGCGATACTCGTGAGTATATCTAGTTGAAGATCTTCACAGACTGGAGTGCCAATTTGCTTCTTCAGCCAAATGTTAAGACTGTTCTTCATTACTACAGGATGTTTTTCACTACCTTAAGTTTTTTTTTTTTTTTTTTTAAATCTAGTTTCTGTTTGTTTAGTGATACTGAATTCTAGATGCGTCTTCAAAACATATCATACATTTGTGGACATAAATGAAAGCTTATTTGCTACAAGAAAATATACTTTTAAAGAACAAGAAATGTGCTTTCTTTTTTCTCATTGTATCTCTAACCATTGAATAATAGAAATTAAGTAATTGGATCTAAGTGACTCCTGACTCTTAAGTTACTCTTTAAACAGTCTGAAAACACACTATGTAATATTTTAGGAAGTGAAGTGCCTTAAAAATTGCTTCAGAATTTTTTTTTCTTAAAAATAAGAAATTTGATTTTCTTATATTAAAATTTAAATCTGATAATTTTCCTCAAGCACAATAGGAAAGTTATTCTAAAATAAACAAACCTTGTTATTTTTTTTCCACAATAAAGGGAAGGAACTAATATTGAGTGTCCACAATATGGCAGGCATTTTACTTCATTTATATCCCACAGCCAACATTTGAGATGGATATTACTTCCCTTCATTTTATTGAAGGAGTTGAATCTAAGAGACTTTAGGCAAATTATTCAGGTCACAGAGGTCCTAAGTTGGATCCAAGCTTGGGTTAGTCTGTCCTTAAAAATTATACTTTGTCCATCATAATAACATAAACTTAAAAAGAAAAATTTGGTCATTTTCACCTTTAAATTAATCATTGGCAATAGTAACACACTTTAAAAGGAGAACATTTTTAGAGAGAGAGCCATTTGGTTCTTTCATCAGAGTTTTAAAATCATGCTGAATAGTGTGATTTGCCTTGGCAAGTGCAATATTTTAACTAAGATGCACCAGTGTTCTTAAATATCAGTGTCTTAAACAATCAAAATTCAGATTAAAATCCAAGTGTAAAATGGTATCCTTTGTACCCTGAGCCCAAGAGGTCTTGGGCTTGTGGACCCAATGTGCAAAGGAGAGTTGTGTCACCTCAGATCCCTCTCATGAATAGCTGGGCAGTATTACACAGGGACCAGCAGGTGAGAGGCATCAGAGGTTATAGCTCCAAGGCAGAGACACAGAATAGCTGTCAACAGATAATAAACCATTGTGTGAGAAAATTGCTTAAAATACTTCAGTTGCTCTCCCTGCAGAGTGGAGGTACTATTGTGGTTTGGGAAGCTCTGGTGACAGTTTGAAGCTGTTTAACCAACTCCGAGTGTATATACATACATATCTCTGTACTGCGGTGTGCTTTCTTATCTTCAAGAGCATGCCTTACAACAGTTGAAGTACGTTGACAAAATGGAGTCTATAAGGAAAGTAAAGACTTGCCATTTCCTCATTTTATAGTTTGTGTTCAGTTGCCAGTGTGTTAAGAAAGGCCTGGGTTAACAAAGGCCAGCGTTAATCCCTGTTTGTGATGTGAACCTGCCAGTTAAAGAGACGATCAGTTATGAACTTATTATTCATTTTATACTCTCTTCATAGCCATGAGAAAGGCTGTTCCAAATTTATGTTGAATTATAGAGAGTTTATTACTTCCCTAGATAAATAAAATTCAAATAAAATCTCATCCCGCAAAGAGACGATTAAGCTAATGTTGCAAAAGACATAGTAATCTTATTACAGTTAACTGTGCACAGGACTAAATAGGGAAAATCAAGACAACTTGATTTTAGAACATAACAGTGTTTTACAAATTACACATTACATGCCCAAAAAATATTTGTGAAATAAATATATGTGAATATATGTACTTACATCTCTCTGAGGAAGAAGACCCTAACTCCTAGTAGATGAGGTGCTCCTAGCAAGGACTCGGTATTTATGATAGGAGATGCTTTGCAGTTTCACATGAGTGGTGACCAAGATGCAGAGACCTCACCCTACAGGCAGGATGGACAAAAGGAGTCAATGGGCAGAGCAGGATATATAAAAAAGACAAATAAACTACAAAATTATTGTTTTTTATTTTTTAAATAATGTCTGTACTAAAGATACATGTTTAGCAAAATTTTCTTCACAAGTAGAGATTCAGAAATGAGTAATAGAATAAAGAGAAAGGAAAAGGTAGTGAATTATGGAAAAGAGGGAAAAATGGAAGGAAGGAAAATGATCTGAGAGAGGTGAAATAAACGTCTAGAAGAACAAAGGTATTTGTAAAACAGTGGAGAACCTTCTGTTGTCTTCAGTTTTGAGAATTCTCCAGTTTCATATTCTCTGCTTCTTTAGACAGGATGTACATTTATAGACTGTTTACTTAGTAACTGAAACCTTTGCTTTTTTTTCCCCTTTGTACAAAATCTTGAAATGTGAAATGAGAAGGGAGAAGTTTGTTCCCAGCCACTTAAAAATGCAAACCTCATCTGGGGGCAGTGTTGAGTTTCAAAATATTCTTTAGTAATGTAAAGTGACACACTTTAAAACAATTAGGCTATTCCTATTGGCTGTTAAGATTTTTTTTTTAGAGCTTATTCTGCAAAACATTATTGTGATATCCATGATATTTCAGTGAGAACCACATCTAGTATAAGTAGTGGCAGTTTTTCTTTAAAGTTATTTTAGAGTTCTTTTAGTAACCACACATAACTGAATAGGTCTGTGGAAACCATGAATATGTCTCCTGACTTAAAGAAGCATCTCTGTATTTGAAAATTGAGTTTCTGGCAGTTCTGTAGCAGAGGGGCTAAGTGGTGTGCTCTGAGGCCAGGCTGTCCGGGCGGGAGTCTCAGATCTGCTATTACTATTCGGGAAACTTCGAGCAAGTCAGTTTTCCTCTGAAAAGGTCTCTCTCCATAGGTTTGGGCTTCTGAAGAAATTAAGGAACTCAGAAGGATCTCTGACATATAAGAAGTACTCAATAAATATGAGTTATGACAACATACCGCCCAATGAGAAAAAAGTAAAATTCACTTCAATATATAAAAGCAGAAAGCTATAAAAGAAGCAGGTAAATATTTGAGCAGCCAAAGGTGGAGATTATTCCTTAAAACAAATCAAACAATACATTAAATCTATCAAAGTATCTTCTACATAGTAGCAGTTCAATAATATTTGCTGAAAAACTAATTGGCTAAAAAAATGAAAATATAAAACTGGAGATATTCACCATAGACTACTTATGAAAACTCATATGAGCTTATAACCACATTGCATCTGTTTGTTGTTGTTGTTGTTGTTGTTATTCTACTTAGTTATACGTGACAGTAGAATACATTTTGACACATTGTACCCAAATGCAGCACAGCTTCTCATTGCTCTGGCTGTACATAGTGCTGAGTCACACCAGTGCTGTAATCATACATGTATATGGGTAATAAGTCTTATTCTATCATCTTTCCCATTCCTGCTGCCCCACCCCTCCCCTCAGTTCTTTCTGCATAATCCAGAATTCCTTCGTTATCCCCCCTCCACACACACACACACACACACACACACACACACACACTATGGATCAGCATCTGCTTATCAGAGAAAACATTTGGTCTTTGTTTTGGGGGGATTGGCTTATTTTGCTTAGCATGACATTCTCTAGTTCACCCATTTACCTGCAAATGCCATAATTTCATTCTTCTGTAAGGCTTAGTAATATTCCATTGAGTACCAAAATGTACCACATTTTCTTTATCCATTCATCTGTTGAAGGGCATCAAGGTTGACTCCATAGTTTAGCTATTGTGAATTGAGCTGCTGTAAACATTGATGTGTCTGCATCACTATAGTATGCTGATTTTAAGTCCTTCGGGTATAGACCGAGGAGTGGGATAGCTGGGTCAAATGGTGGTTCCATTACAAGTTTTCTGAGGAATCTCCATACTGTTTTCCATACCGGTTGTACCACCAGCAATTTATGAATATACCTTTTTCCGTACATCCTTGTTAACACTTATTATTGCTGGTATTCTTGATAATTGCCATTCTGACTGGAGTGAGATGAAATCTTAGAGTAGTTTTGATTTGCATTTCTCTTATTGCTAGAGATAATGAACATGTTTTCATATCTTTTTTTATTTATATATAACAGCAGAATGCATTACAATTCTTATTACATATATAGAGCTCAATTTTTCATATATCTGGTTGTATACATAGCATATTCACACCAATTCGTGTCTTCATACATGTACTTTGGATAATAATAATCATCACATTCCACCATCATTAATTACCTCATGCCCCCTCCCTTCCCCTTCTACCCCTCTGCCTTATCTAGAGTTTGTCTATTCCTCCCGTGCTCCCTCTTCATATCTGTTTTGATTGAATTTGAAACATAATATATAACCATATTCTCATGGTGATTTCAATGAGTTGAAGAGAGAAAACCACATACATTATGGACACAGGGGTCAGGGCATTCAGTAGGTGCTCAAGTGTTCATTAAATGATTGAATGAAAATTCTGAAATAATTATGAGTGATAATAACAATATACACACTATAAGTTGGGCTCTTGGGATATAAGATAAGTGGGTTGATATAATTCAGAAAGGAAGACTTGGGCAGATGCTGAAGAACATGTCAATTTCAGCCTGTCATCTTCAACCCTGGCTGATGTAAGAATAGTGAATGCCTAGTTTCCACCTCAGTAAAGTGCTATTTAATTGGTCTCAGGTGAAGATTAGGAGTTTATATGGACTAAAAACTACAGAGGTGATTCTAATAATTAGTCAAGGCGAGAATCCCTGATGTTAATGGTCAGAAAGACCAGAAAAGTTCCAGGCAGAGCTGAGGGGAGAGGGATGTTGGTATAGAGGGAATTGTGTATACAGCCTTGAAGAGATGTGCATTGGCTCAGAAAGGAGCTAAACTGAGGCTAGTCTAGCTTAATATTGAGGTAATAAAATACTAAAATGGAGTGGCCTAGACAGGGATAGAAGTGACAGATACATGGCTCTTTTATAAGCGTGAGCTTTGATGTTGGATGGATACAGCCTAAACTCCTTAGGTGGGTTATGTAGCATTGACATGCCATAGATTTCACAGCTATAACGATAGTAATTCTCTTCATGTATCTCTTATAAAGGCCACAGTGACCAAACATGTGGAAAACAGGAAGAGCTGAGTTAAAGTGAATATGAAAATAGGGACAGAGGCAGGAAGATGAAAGTGCCCAAAGCAAGTCACATGCTTCATGAGTTTTTAAAATGATATTCCTAGAGAAATAAATAACTCACCCCCTCCCCCACCACATGAAATAGACCAAGGATCAGTAAGCCACTATTTTATGGAACAAAATTAATCCAATCTCTCCCCTACCCACTTCTATTACTAATCAATTCCTCCTCAAGACTGACTCCACCAACTCGGAAATGAAACCAGCGATGTGTAAGTCAGTTTGGGAAAAATAAGAAATGATTCTTTGTGAAAGTTTACTTAGTATTTTTAAGAGCTCATAGTAGAAGCAGAAGCATGTAAGTCCCATGAGAAAAAGCTAAATGAAAATAGGAAGTACTGAGAATGAAAGCCACATACATTTTGTAAGAATTTGTCCTTCAAAATGTTCTTGGTAACCTATTTTCACATAAAAATAATCTTGTTAACCTTCAGATGAATATTACCTACATGGCAGCCCATATTAGTATTGCTATTTTTAAATTAAGGAAATGTGGTTGTTTAGAGACATATGAAATAATCATTTAGGCAGCCTTTTTGACTTAGTTCAAACAGAACAAAAAGTAATAAGTGAGAAAGGATGATCTAGAAAGAAGAGTGGATCTCTTTGTCAACTTCTTTTCTCTTTTTTTGTCTAAAGCTGTCGTTAATTTACCAGGCCAGCTTTTGAAATGCTTTCTAGACATGATTGGCCTAAGTATTTCTATTATGTCTGTGCATTATTGTATACTTTTGCTCATTTTGTTGCCACAAGAAATCAGAGAAAGAGTAGATATGTTACTCAGATACTCAGTAGAGAAGGTGAGCTGAAGACAGGGACCAACTATTCCAAGTAAATGTGCCTGGCTGAGCAATAACCATGACTATGACTGGGCTGGAACAACAGCTTTCTTGAGGTTGAGCCACTGGTATTTCAGTTTAGACTCTAATATTCATTCCAGTAGTCACTGACCTTTTTGAATCACATTAACCACAGTTCATTCCTGTATCTTTCTTCTGCTTGATATAATAGTGAAACAAAATACATAATTCCATATGTATGACTTAGACTCTGATAACTGAAATGTAGCTCACATTTTCAATATATATAGGACTTTAATTTTTAGGTATACTCAGGTTAAATATCCTGGACCACTTGTGTAATCTGTACCTGCCTCAGATTTTTCATCTATAAAATAAGTAATAAGTTTTAGTTTATATTTGTGAGGATTTTTTTTACATAAGAAGGCATATAATGTTCTTAACATACAATGGGATCGATAAATGTTATTTACATAATTTTGATATTAAAAATAATCATTTCATAATTATATGAGTGTTTATTGATTTTTCATTTAATACAAACATGGATTTTTCCCCCCTTTTCAGTGATGGGATTGAACACAGGGCTTTGTATATACTAGGCAATCAGTCTACCACGGAGCTATATCCCTTGCCCCCAAATTTCATTTTTTAAAGAAAAATAATAGCTCATATTGTAACCAAAGACACTGAAAAAATTCAGATTAAAATATGGAAAAAATTCTAAAAACACAACTACACAAAATATGAAAGATAAAATAAAAATAACATGCGCTTTTTTTTTGAAGCTAGACAAATTGATTTTAAAGTTCATGCAGAAAAATAAGTCTACAAAAACAGCCAGGTAAACAGTACAGAACTAAATATGGGAGCTAGCATTAGCATATGTTAAAACCTACTATAAATCTATAGTAAATCACAGTAGTAATTGAAACAGTGTGTTACCAGTACATGATAAAGAAGCAAATAGAACTGAGCAAAAATTCCAAAAGTAGATGCAGGTACAGTCTGTTCATATCTATTTATTTATATCTATTTCCAGTTCCTGGGCCAAAACTGAAAACTTGACAATTTTTGGACTCCTATCCTGCATTGACTTAGCACTAATGTACTGACAGGTGACTCTTGATTTCATTTACTGCGTCTAGATACCGGTTTTACTCTATACCAGCACGATTCCCTAGAATGTTGTGCGTTGGTGGAAATATTCTAAAAGCTGCACTGTTCACTAGGTCAGCCACTAGCTATACTGGCTACTAAGTCTTTGATATAGGACTAGTGTGACTCAGCAACTTATTTTAAAATTCTATTTAATTTTAATTAATTTATATTTCAATAACTACAGGAGGATGATG